CTCTCCTAGCCACTGTAACTGCTTGTGTAGCCTCAGGGAGGAGCTTTGGGAAGCTTGGAATTTTCAAGAGCTTCTGAGCCTTGTAAGTTTTCTTTGCTTCCTGCACCCTTTGCTTCATTTGTTTCCTGTCCACCTCCCTCTTCCTTCTAGGAGGGAGTTTAAATCTCGAGGAAATGGTTACACAGCTGTATTCCTCTGTGCACGTGTGCTTTCTGTGTGTGCCTCTGTGTGTCTAAGTGTATCTGTGAATGTCTCTGTGTGTCTAAGTGTATCTGTGAATGTCTCTGTGTGTGTCTCTGTGTGTTTATGCATGTGTGCCTCTGTATGTCTGTGTGTATCTTTGTGTGTGTCTCTGTGTACATCTTCGAGTGTGTGTCTGTGTGTTTCTCTATCTGCATGACTGTGTGTTTCTGTATGTGTGTGTCTGTGTGTGTTCCTATGTTTCTGTGTCTTCTGTCCTATGTCTTGTATGTCTCTATGTGTCTGTGTGTATGCCTGTGTGTGCATTTCTGTATGCGTGTGCCTCTATGACTGTGCATGCTCCACTACATTATCCATATCCTGGGTCCCATTAGAGATGGACAGTTCAGTTTGTGGCCATTGCCTCTTTCCTTCACTGAGAGCATTTCACCTGGTCTTCCATGCCACCACTCTGCTTCACAGTCTGAGGGAACTGAGCAAGGATCACAGACACACAGCAGAGGACAACCTGTCTGCAAAGAGACTCCCACACAGCCCTGGTAGCTCCAGGACAGAGTGCTCAGGGACAGAGTCCTTCTCTGAGAAAGGGGAGGGCAGAGATTGGAAAGCAAAAAGATACAGTGGATATAGAGTCCAATCCCATGCTGTGTGTGTGTGTGTGTGTGTGTGTGTGTGTGTGTCCCTTATCTATGCTACTCCCCCAGCAGCCCTCATGCCATTGTTGACTTTTATGATATCTTCCCTTCCATTCCCTTACCTGGTGAGACTGATAGTTGGTTATGGCACATTAGGCACTACCTGGGGACCCGCCCTTTGCCACCCAGCTCTGTTTAGAGCTTGTGGTCACCAGCTTCACTAAGTGGCTCGGAACTGGCCTATGAGGACAAAGCAGGGCCCAATTTTCTGCTGCGTGCTCTCCCCAAGCCCCCATCCTTCTCATTCTCAGGCTCCACACTGTGCTGGCTCAACCTGGGTCCGGGCGTATGAAGACTCCTCACTTCCACAGCAGATTTAGTGTTACTCAGCACTACTAACGCCTTTGTGGTGTTCTGGCTCCCCCCATTTCACCTACCACAGGCCCTATAGCAGCTTCTTGAGCAGCGTCCCCAACTCCGTCCCTTGCTCAGCAGCTCTGGGAACCAGGGACATCTAAGCAAACAAAATAGACAAGAAACGATTATGACTTCACAGTAGGGGAAAACGTAAAATAAATACATGCTTTTGCATATAGAAGATACTAGGGTTAGGGTTAGGGTTCCCAGGAGGAAGTGTCACAGGGGCAAGGGGTGCAGACTGCGCTGTTAAAGAGGGTGCTTGGCAGCATACTCTTTGGAAGATGGTACTAAGCAAAGACTCACAGGAGGCTCAGAGTTGCCTCAAGAATTAAGACTTTCCAGGCTGAGAGATGGCCAGCGTAAAGGGTCTGAGGTAGGGCAGTGCCTAGAGGGCTGGAGAAGCCACGGGCGGGTTAGTGTGTTTGGGGCCAGCCAAGGGAGGGAAGGGCTAGAGGGTGAGGCCCCAGAGCAGGTGGGCAGACCACATAGGTGGGTCAGACTCCATAAGGACTTGGACTTCTCTGAGTCAGTCATGTGCTTCACATCACCAAGCATCAGCTGCAAAACCAGAACGAACGTGCCCATCTTAGAGGCATGCACACTGCCAGCATGTGGCTGTCCGCAGTGGATGGCAGGTGGGACTCGTTCTCAGTACTGCGTTACTAAGTGTGAGCTCTGCATGGCAGATTTGATGGTAGTTTGTGCTTTTAGCATTGATTACCAGACCCGGAACAGTTCCAACCACACTGGACACTCACAGCCAACACCCACTGAGCATTACCCTTGCCCTGTCTTCATTCTAAAAGTACATTTGAGGGCTGGGAGATTGCTCAGTGGATAAAGTGCCAGCCACGCAAGCAAAAGGACCAGAGTTTGGATCCCAAGCACCCAAACCATGTGTGGTGGCTTGTGTCTGCAACCCCAGCACTGAGAGGGCAGAGACAGAAGGGTCACTGGGGATCACTGGCCAGCCAGTCTCAGCAAATTGGTGAACTCCAGGGTCAGTGAGAGACCCTGTCTGAAAACATAAATGGAGAGTGACTGAGAAGATCCTGATGGTAACCTCTGACCTCTACACTTGTGTACACACATATCTGCCTGCACTCACATATCTACCTACACACACACATAACCTGCACACACACAGATAGAGACACACAAAAATGAACCAAAACCACATTTAAGGTGATGTTTGTTGCATTTTATCCTTGTTCATTTTTGTTATCTGAAGAGATACAACCCTTACCCTTTGCCTGTTACACAGGGACTTCGGTTCATGATAATAATTTGATATAAAACCCATGGTTCTGTGTTGGGGAAGTCATTAGTGTCTGTGGTGAGCCTTCCACATCCCAGTGGTGATATGGGTCAGTGATACAGGCTGTTTTGAGGACAAGGGAGATGTGTGTAATGTTTTTCTGGAGCTCTGAGTGGCCATGTAAGGGGACCTGTAGGTGTCACACATGGTGGCCTCATACCTGTTGACCTCACGCCAGGTGACCTCATGCCTGGTGGCCTTACACCTGGTGGCCTCACACTTGGTGACCTCACACCTAGTGACCTCACATCTGGAGGCCTCACACTTGGTGGCCTCATGCCTGGTGGTCTCATACCTGCTCACACCAGGTGACTGTATGCCAGGTAACCTTTCATAGGAGAGGTCAGTACACATGCTTGGAGGTTTCTTTGGAGGTCATTGACTGTGCTGGGCTTCATGCTTCTGTGAGGAGCTGGGGCCTCTTAGAGGGTGAAATGTCTCAGCAGTGACGGAGCCCAGGGCCTCTTTGTCCCCAGAATGGCAGTCTTCACCTTGACAATGCCAGTTTACTCAGCTGTTTGAGGCTGTATCAGTTTCAAGAATTAATTTTTGTATTGAGCCATTCTGATTTAAGTGTATTTCTGCTTTTTGTGCACATATTAAAATTTTTATTTGTGACTAAGTCATCCTTAGATTATTTAAAAGTTGATTTCAGAAACATAGCTGTAATTGTCCCCTTTGTTGTAGCTAATTAAATTAATTCGTCTTCTTGTCAAATTATTCTTGAGGTGACACTCATCCACAAGGCCTTCCTAAAAATAAATTAGAAATGAGCTAACATCGTGACTAAACACGCAGTTCCCACCCCCCATCACTTGCTGTCCAAGTATCAATCAATCTACCCATGTCTATTTCTTTCAACATTTAAAAAAGCCCCATCATTTCTTTTGACATGTTGGAAACAGCAATAAGTAGAGCATTTGGGGTCCCTCATTCACAGAGCTGAGCTTTTTTGTGGGACAGAGAAACAAGGATTCTTTGAGAATGGTGAGGGACATCTTCTGGGAGAAAGTGACACTTGGGTAGAGAACGGAATGCAATGAAGGTGAGAGTCAGAGTCTGGGAGATGGGCAGCCCAGGCAGTGGGCCAGCAGGTGCAAGGGCCTGAGGTGGAAATGACTTGGGACATGTAGTCCAGAAAGGAGGTGCCAGAAGGTTGATGGGAGGGGTAGAGCTTGGAAAGTAGGGAGAGGACAGATCGGGGAGGGATGCATCTTCTTTGAAAGGAGTGTGGGTTTTCTACCAAGTCTATAGGTTGTAAATATTTTAAGTTATTGACTGTTTCAATATTCTCTTCCAAGACTAACCCATTGACTCGTAGAGATTCTGAGAAGAAATCACTGAGCGATAAGGTATCATTCACGTATTTTTAGATTTCCATTTACGTCAATCCCATTCCCCTGTTACTCCGGAGTAAGGGTCTGTTGGAGATTGTTTGATGAGCCTTGTTAGCAGGATAGTCATGTTGCCATGTAGCATGCTAGCCACATGTGCTTGTGTGAATGCATTTGAACAAGGGAGCTGAGGCCCCTTTCTGTGACGTTGACTCTGCAAGTGAAGGCCATCTTCTACAGTCAGTTCAGAGAAGCCAGGCCATAGCAGTTAAGATCTAATTTTTCCTTCAGCACAGAGACAAATTGTAACTGAACAGCACTGACTGTACGTCCCAACCCTGTACCTTCTGCACAGGAACAGGCCCTGTGCCACTGTCTGTAGTGTGTCCCCAAGTACCAGCAAATGACCCTTCAGAGGTCAATAGTTAAGGACTCAGAGGTCAACATGGACATAATGTAAAGACATATAACTCAACTTTCATTCTCCCTATGCAGTGAGGCCCCATCATCATCCTTCAAAATAATAAGGTCAATTTCATACAATTCTGCTAATTTCTGACCATGCTGTCTTCTAGTCAATGACTGTTACAGGAACGCATGGCTCTACAGACCACGAATTCAATAACATCACCTTAAAGAGCTGCTTAAAGGAAGCTGTGAGATACAGGTGAATCAGAAATTGGGCGGTGATTTCTAATGCAGAAACTTTACAGAGGTCCAGGGTGTGAAAGGGTTCATCCATTTTAGATTCCTAATACCATTTGTTGTGACTGGTGGCTGACATCGAAGTCTTTTCTAATGAACCTCATTTTTAAATTGTCTTTTTGTCCTAAAAAACCTAAATGACAAGTTCTTGAAGTCCCTGTGATTCAGGGTTTGGAACTCAGGCTGTTCTCCATTGTGCTCCCCTTGGGGAGCCCCTGCTGTGTGCGATCAGGTTACTGCTGGATGACCTTAAAGCACAAGGTCATATGCTCCAGAGGAATGGACTTTTCAAGTGAACAAGAGCTGTGAGCCCTGGAGCTAATCTCCCAGCACTAGCAATACCTGCCTTGTAAAGGAATAATTGACCCATTTATGGTCTGATTTCAGTTTGTTGCAGATCCTTGCACCAGCAACCCTTGTCACCATGGCAACTGCAGCAGCGGCAGCCCCAGCAGCAGCAGCTCCAGCCCCAGCAGCCCCAGCTCCAGCAGCAGCAGCAGCAGCAGCTACCTCTGCCTCTGCAATGAGGGCTATGGGGGTCTCAACTGCGAACAGCCACTTCCCAGCATTCCAGCTTCTGGCTGGACCGAGTCGGTGGCACCCAGACAGCTTCGACCTATCCCCGCCACTCAGGAGCCGGACGTAATCCTGCCCCGCTCTCAGGCAACCGTGACCCTGCCAACCTGGCAACCGAAAACAGGACAGAAAGTTGTAGAAATGAAATGGGATCAAGTCGAGGTGAGAATGTCGTATGGCCGCATGTATTTTTACAGAATACATGAAGAAACCAGAAATGTTAAAGTAATTACAGTGGTTTAAATATGAGCATTAAGAACAGAGGACCTGGAGTTACTCACTGAGCAAAATCAGGTGCTTAGTGTAAACTTACCTCCATCTGTATTCATGTGTGTGATTGTTTTTCAGTGCTGGGGCTTGAACTCAGAGCCTTAGGGATGCTAGGTAAGTACTCTACCATGGAGCTACACCCTTAGCCCTTGTTTATCTTATATTAAAACAAGGTTTAGGTTGCCCAGGCTGACTTTGAACTTGCTACACAGCCCAGGTAGGCATCTGCCCCCAAGTTCAGTTTATATGATGGTTTTGTGAGCAAACAAGGATTCAACAAAGCCAGGCGTAGTGGCACATGCCTGTAGTCCCAACACTTGGGAGGCAGAGGCAGGCAGATCTTTGTGAGTTCAAGGCCAGCCTGGTCTACATAGTGAGCTCCAGGACAGCTGGGGCTACAGGGAGACCCTGCTTCAAAAAGACAAAAAAAAAAAAAAAAAAAAAAAAAAAAAGGAGTCAACAAAAACTAAAAACAAATTAAAGTGTTTCCTAGACTGATCTCCACACACATTTCTGTGTAGTAATCTTGAGGATAGATGGTGCCATGTGGAGTGGTTCAAAGGCACATGTCGTAGGATCCCACACTGTTGACCCAGTTTTCCTTCTTGGACTGGGTTAGTCTGCTCTGGCTGCTGTAATGAAAACCCCAGATACTGCATGGCTTATAAACAACAAATGTACATTCCTCCCAGTTCCTCGGGCTGGGATGTCCAACATGAAGGCAGATTCAGAGTTTTGTCAGTTCCCTCTTCAGATGGTACCTTCTTACCATGACCTTATATGGATCACAGGAGTGACTGAGATCTCTCAGACCTGTTTTATAACGGTGCCCATCCCATTCATAGGACTCTGCTCTTGGGTTTGAAGTGCCCCAAAGATTCAGCCCCTTCATACCTAACACCTTGGGTGTTAGGAATCCAGTGGATGAGTTTTGGAATTGTCTCCTCTTTTAGTGTTGAGGATAAACCAGGGCCTTGCACAGGTAGGTCAAGTGCTCTACTGCTGAGCTACATCCCTAGTCCTTTGAGAGATGAACTGAGCCAGGTTCAATGATTTGCATGCATAAAAATGTCATGATGAAACCCATATTTTGTATACCAACTAGAAAAAAATTAATGACAGGAGTTTTGGGAGGACACAAACATTTGGACCACAGTTGAGTTTTATGCCCAGTTGTTTCTGTTACTGTTGTTACTGTTTAGGTCCTGGTTTTTGGTACCTTGTAATATGTCCATGGGATTTAGGAAAAACAAAGGAAGCTATGATTAATCTAAAAAATATTTTGAGATTGCACTTGAGAGTGGAGTTTCCAACTTTTATTCATTTTTTCAATGGCATATTCTATTTGTTGAAACTTACCCCACTGGGATTTGGGTACTATATATTGAAACTCTTCAGAAGTCTCCTTCTGAGAGCTTTTGAGAAGACCCCTAAAAGTTGGCATTTCTAACTATTCTAGCTAGAAATATTAGGGAACAAATCCACATCGTGAGTTTGAAGTGATGCTGTGGGGGTATAATTATACTTTTAATCTAGTATTCTATTTACCCAACATCCATGGCAACCTGTGGGACATGTTATTGAAATTATTACCAGGTTCATAACTGAAGATGAAATAAATTAGGTCTTTGTGTGTCATGTTTTCTCTCATATATATAGACATTAAAAATTATTTGAGGGCCTGGAGTGATGGCTCAGCAGTTAAGAGCACTGGCTACTCTTGCAGAGGACCCAGGTTCTATTCCCAGCACTCACATGGCACTAACAACCATCTGTAACTTCAGTTCCAGGGGATCTAATGCCCTCTTCTTACCTCTGAGGGCATTGCATGACACAGATGTGCCTACACACATGCAAGCAAAACATTCATAAGACAATAAATAAATAAAATATTAAGATAGACTTGAAAGTAGGAAGGAGATTACTTGGAGTGAAGGAGCCCAATGGGAGAAGAGGGGGTGGTGCATGACAGACATGTGTGACAATGTCATCACGAAACCCATTATGATGTTTAGAACATACAAACCTTCATGCAGTGTGCATTAGTGTCAAGGAATATCTAGAAACCCCCCATATTGTAAAGCGGGGAGCAGCACCGTTTCATTCACTGTCTTGGGTATAAACAAGTCCACCCACTTCTTTTTCAGTGCTACATAGCTCATGAAAGCTGTGCTTGGGTTGCTGAGCCTTGATTGACCGATTGATTGATGATTGATTGACTAATTGATTGATTGATGATTGATTGATTGATTGACTGATTGATTGATGATTGACTGATTGATTGATTGATGATTGATTGACTGATTGATTGATGATTGATTGATTTTTAGTCTACCTAAAAAGCTGCAGAACTTGTTTCACTTTCAGACTTTAATAAGTGCTTAGGAGATGTGATGTTAATTCCTCTTTGACTGAATGACTCAGTTCTTGAATATGAACTAGATTTGATTCCAAGTTGATCAGGGCAGTGTCCTTTAAAGACAATTTCTCCCCAACCAGCCATTTCAGTCTGTTTATTTAAAGTCATGCTGTTCTGCAGTTGGGAAGTATAAACACGATTTGTTTTGCAGTTACACTCTGGTCTGCTAGGTTGTTCAAGGAGTGGGTTGAAATCTCCTGTGGAGACTGTGGAGATAAGTCAAGGCTCCCCCTTTTGTGATGTAACGATGCTTTAGAAGCACAGAAACTATTTGGAACCTTAGAGGATGAAATACTTATTTAACAGTCACTGGTTACACTCATTTAGTGTGTTGAAAGCACATCTTTGAGTATCAGGCAGGTTTTAGCCACACTATTTAATGATAGGGTGTTCGGGAAAACGAGTTCTAAGGGTTGGGTTTAGTATAAAATGGTTACAATTTTCTGTATTGCTCCAAGTTAATTCTAGAATGGTGAATACTCCGTCCTTTTTTCCTTGTGTGTGTGATGCATGTATGTGTGCACGTGATATGTGTAGGTGTGTTCACCCATGCAGGTGTGTGTGTGGAGGGCAGAGGCTGATGTTGGGATGTCCTCCTTTGTCATTGTTTGTCAACTAGTTTTTCAAGTCTCCTACTGATCCCAGAGGTTGTCTTTTTGGCTACACTGGGTGATCAACAAGGCCCCAGATCTGCCTGTCTCTCCCCGCCATGCACTGGGGTTACAGGTGTGCATTACCGTGTTCCACTTTTTGTGTTGGTTCTGGCATCTAAAACACAGGTTCTTGTGCTTGTGCAGAAGGTACTTTACCTACTGAGTCATCGCCTCAGCCCAATGAGAACTTTTAACAGACCTTCATTTTCTTTGCCACAGATGAGGACAGAGATCTTAGTGGAGGAATAAACTGGCCAGAAACACCTCACAGACTTGTCTTTTGCAGTGTGCTTTCTGATGAACACAGTTCCCCCCATACCGCCTGAACTCCTCTTTTTTTTTTTTTTGGTCTTTTTGAGACAGGGTCTCCCTGTAGCCCTAGCTGGCCTGGATTCACTATGAAGACCAGGCTGGCCTTGAACTCACAGCTGCCTCTGCCTCCCTAGTGCTGGGATTAAAGGCGTGTGCCACCACACCTGGCCTGAACTGGCTGACTATCAAGCAAAATAAAGCAGTGGGTGACATCCTGCTGTGTTTCCTGAAATCTCTTGTTTATCAGGTAATGCCCAGGAATTTTCAGACAGCTCTCTGGAGGGCTGCATTTCATGAAATCAAATAGGAATGCTTTCCAGTCCCTAAACTTTTTCTTGTCCCCTTCATGGCCCAGTGGCAACCTCATCATTGAGCAGAACCAAAGGAATGCAGCTCGTGGATTTTACCTTATGATGTTATTTTGTACCGTGGTTCCACCCTAGTAACGGGTCTTTTCTTTTCCAGGTGGTCCCTGATGTTGCCTGTGGGAATGCCAGCTCCAACAGCTCTGCAGGTGGCCGCCTGGTATCTTTTGATGTGCCACAGAACACCTCAGTGAAGTAAGAACTTTCTGGTTCAAACCCATTACAGTTGACACTGTGCTCAGGTGCTGAGTGGTATCTACCATGTACTTGGTCTGTCACAGGCCAATCTGGTGGGAATTATGAGTGAATTGTCTGAGGGGACATGGTCACTGCTCAAAACGCATGAGCAAGGCCTATCAGAGGAGGATCACAGTGGGAGAAGCTGGTTAGGCTGCACAGTTGCAGTGGGGGACGTTAGACTGGACCAGTTGGACCCGATAGAAGAAACTTGGAGGCCTTAGAAAAGCTCTGGAGCTTGTTGCCTCATCTCCCAGATGACTTTTACCTCTTAAGATTTTAATGGACCATTAAATTCATTTGTGTAATTTACTCCAAATTAATAAATCTGCATCTTACAACTTTCTCTTTAAAAGCGAGCAGCAGGAAAAGTGTTTTGTTTTAAATTTAAGCTGTCAAGTGACAGACTGCCCATGGTCTCCTGGGGTGTGGAGAAGAGGCAAAGAGAAGCCTCTGCTTGAGGCCACCTGATGCAAACAGGTGCCATACAGAGGCCCAGGGAAGCTGGCAGCTGCCCAGGGGCACATAGCTAGGATAGGGGAGGCTCCAGCACGCCAATGTTTCAGACATGCTGACAGTCCACCCTGTCATCCTTTGTTGCCATTAACTCATCTCCCTATTCTAGCTGTCCACCCTGAGCAACCCCAGGGGACTTTAGAAGATTGGGGATATGTAGCCTTGACCAGCCAGTTCTGTGTATTGGCTTTCTTTTAAGGGCTCGTGGTACTATCTACCTAGCTTATGCATACAGACCAATTTTGCTTGCCTAGCTTTCCAAACAGTGGGCTCACTGACAGTGTGTGGCAGAGGGACTTATTACATTGCCCCTGCATCCTCCCTCCTCAGCTATGAGGTCACCCTGGCAGGGGAGATCCTAGACTGGCACTGCAGTTCTTGGGGGAATATGACCCCAGGAAGAGAGGTGGAATGTGAGGCCACTCGCAGCTCTACCAGCAGGGGGACCCCGGTGCTAAGTGTTCCACGGCAGGCCCCAGGTCCTGAGTTGGTTTTAGGCAAGCACAGCACAGATCGCTAGTTTACTATCTCCTGTACTTGCTTAGTTGCGGAAGTATCCCCAGCCCTTTCCTGACTAGATCCTGTTACTCCACGTTCCTAGCCTTTCTGAGTAGCTGTAGTTGTCTGCTTCAGTCAATGCTTTCCATTTCCCCCTCTCAACAAACCTGGCATTCTCTGGGCCTCTCTTAGGTGGCAAAAGTAGATAGAGACCCAGGCTGAGCAAGATGGGAATGCCAGGTGGTCTATGGGCACCCCAAATTCAAGTATGACCAGCCCCCTAAATATTCATAAATTCAGTCTTTTAGCATGCTGTTGTTGAGCCCCATGCTGTAAGCAGGGAGCTTGTGCTGGGGGAGCAGCCATGTGTGGAGAATACTGGGGTCTGCTGATTGAGGAAGGGGTGGGGGACTGGGTCTTCTAGAGTGCAGGGAGCATAGGCAGTGGCCGGCATTGTGAGAAGGGGCAGGGGACCCACAGAAGAGGTGATGCGTTAGGTTAGGGGTACGTGAAGGTTGGTGGCCAGGAAGGAGCTGGACTGGAAAGAGACAGCAGTAGCTCTTTGTTGCTGGGACCCCAGGTGGAGGGGATGTTGGAGTGTTGGAGCGAAGAGGGAGCTGGCAGGGCTTGACTGGTATTAGATGGCATCCTGTTCTCTGGATTTTATCCTGCAAGCCACGGGAAGTCACGGAGGCCTAAAGCAGGGTGGGGTGGCATTGTTTACCGTCACAGCGTAGCCCAGATGGCTAAGAATCTTAAGCAAGATTCTTCTTACTTTCATAAAAGTACTCAGTGTAAGTTTTATTATTTATTATTGTTACTCAAAGGTGACTAGTCATTTTGTGATATGCTTTGAACAAATGGGAGGTAGACATTTCCAGTCAATGTGGTTGCTCCACTGTGCACAAAGTGGGCGCTTGCTTATATATCCATTCCTTCAGTTTCCTGATACCTTTGGGTAGTTGCTTATATATCCATTCCTTCAGTTTCCTGATACCTTTGGGTGGATATACAGGACATCTATATTTTTATTTTGAATTTGATGAATTCGTTTGACATTCCATTGACATGAGTTTTGTTTTCAGAATTCGGCAAGATGCCAGTGCGTCACTGATCTTGCTGTGGAAGGTCACAGCCACCGGTTTTCAGCAGTGCTCCCTCATAGATGGACGAAGCGTGACACCCCTCCAGGCCCCAGGGGGCCTCGTCCTCCTAGAGGAGATGCTTGCCTTGGGACCCAATCACTTCATTGGTGAGTTACAGAAACCTCCTCCATGCCACACCTGACCCAGCCCAACCCCGGTTGGTGTTTAGATGTGGTGCGTGGGGATTCATGTGCCCACGGCTATGATGCTAGACAGAAGTCCTATGTCCTCCACTTCAAGAATGGCTTGACTTACAGTCAGAACTGCCTTCTAACACAGCATTCTCCCCCCACCCCCAGCCACTTCTTGTTGCTCCAAAAGACGAGCTTTCCTTTGGGTCAGCATTCTGACTGTATCTTGCCAATTGGTTTCATCTGTCACTCAGAGCATAATATCTTTATACATATATATAAATATATATAATTTTATTTATTCATTATTTTTTGTGTGAGTGTATTGCTTACATGTATATAGGTGCACCTGTATCATGCAGTGCCCTTGGAGGCCAGAAGAGGGGTCAGATCCCCTGGAACTGGAGTTACAGACGGTTGTTAGCCACCACATGGGTGCTGGGAATCAAACCTGGGTCCTCTGCAAGAGCAGCCAGTGCTCTTCACTGCTGAGTCATCTCTCCAGCCCCAGGGCATGGTATCTTTGGGGTTGGAACTTGTAACTATGGCCAGTTAACATTGCTGATGTCACTAGGAACTTTATTAGAGCTTATTCCATCTTGGAGTCTCAGTGTGGAGACCTAAGTTCAGGTTGAGAACCCACCCACTCCAGGCTAAGGAACCCAGGCTTCTTGTTCTGATGGGGTCAGGGCAGCAGCAGCTGTCTCTTGGGGTATATTGGGAAGGCTAAATGAGGTAATATATGTGAAACAGCAGTGTTACAAACATTAGGGATCATTCTAGGGTGATTTCTCTATTTTTTCTGAGATACACTGTTTGCACTGAGACTTATTCTTTAAAACATGTGATTGAATCAGGTATCATAATGAAGATCAGAGGATAAGAGAAAATGCCCAGCTTTATTTAGCTTCAACTGTAGTTTACATTTGACTCGCCTTCCTCTGATGAGAACACCCGTTTTTCAAGCTTTGGAAAGCCAGCTGGGAGGAGCTGAGGTAAAGAGAGAACAGTTTGGGGAATGGAAGTGGCTGGGAAAGGAGGGGAAGGCATAGAACTTCAGACTAGGGTTTGACTATCAAGATGTGTACTAGATAAACAGAATTTGGGTGATGGAGTATTATTAAGATGCAAATCTGAATTTTACTCCCCAGAACTTTCCATGTAACAACAATTTATTTAAAAGGAAAGTTGATATTATTGTGATAATGTCATTTTTTAAAATTTAAATTAAAAATTTTGTGCACGTGTGTGTGTATGTATGTGTGTGTATGCCTACACATGTACACCATGACACATGTGTGGAGACAGAGGACAACCTGCAGGAGACAATTCTCCCCTTCTACTGTGTGGGTCCTGGGATTCAACTGAGGTTGTCAAACTTGGCAACAAGTGATTTTTCCCCACTGAGCCATCTTGCTGGCTCCCAATCATTTTTTAAAATACTGATCTTAAGTTTTTCTTGTTAGTAGATTAACTGTCTTTTTTTTTAATGACAGAGAGCTAGTAGTAGTTCAAGAAAATACATGAAGCTTCACCATGTTAAAATGTCATAAAGCTCATGAGAGAATACCTACAGTAGTTTACAAGAGAAATGTCCCCACCTCTCAGCTATTTGAACACTGGTCCCCTTTCGTTGGTTGGTGGTGCTGATTGGGGCGGTCATGGAACCTTCAGGAGGCATGGCCTTGCTATGGGAAGTGTGTCACTGGGGGCAGGTTTTGAGAGTGCACAGCCTGGCCCCACTTCCGTGTGTGGCTAGAAATGTGAGATCTCAGCTCTCAGCCCCAGTCAGCTGCTGCCATGCCTCCCTGGCCATTGTAGACCCTCCCTCTGGAACTGTAAGCCCAGCAAGCCCTTCTATAAAGATGCTTTGGTGCTGGTGTTCATCATAGCAACAAAAGAAAACTAATCTCCTACCCATTTGAAATATCAGTCTGATATTTCACTTCGCTTATAACATTACTGTAAGCTGAGATAGACATCGGAGTGTGGGTGGGGATGAGCAGAGGGGATTTCCTAGAGATAGGAAAAAGTTTTATGAACTCGTATGTAATTTGAGCTCATTTTGCTAACAAAAACATTCATAGAAACAGTATCTCCGGTTGAAATGCAATAGTCCTTGGAGGAATAATTTTAAAAAATCTATTTCATGTTAATAACCAAATTAAGGAAGTGATCTCCTCAGATTATACTTCAGCTTTTCATGAAGAGACAGAGGTTTTGAGTAACACCCTTTATTTCCATACAACATTTGTTTTTCATTTGGAAAATACGTGATCTGTTATCTTTTAGCCTCATCCTGTTTTACCTGGCTGCCCAGCTGAGATTACAGTCTTGTGGAGTTCATCTCTTCAGAGGCAGCAGGTCCTGCCCCATGCTCCTCCCAGGAAGGGAAGGGCACAGGCCACAGATAACTGGGTTCTGCCAGTCTTGTCACTCAATCGTCTGTTTTAAAAAAGCAAGACGTTTCTTTGGTGATCGTTGCAGAAGCCTCATGCTTACTATATAGATGTTCAATGATTTTTAAAAATTTTATTGAGACAAGTTTCTTATTAAAAGAGTTTATTTTCATAGGGCTGGAGAGATAGCTCAGTTGGTGAAGTGCTTGCCACACAGGATGAGGACCAGAAGATCTCCAATACCTACGTAAAAAGTTGGGCATGGCTGTGCATGCCTGTGGCCCAGCACTGAGTAGGGAGAAGCATGAGGGTTCCCAAAGCTTGCTGACCAGTCAGATAAGCTGAATTGGTGAGCTCTGTGTTCAATGGGAGACCCTGCCTCAAAAAATACAGTTGTGGGGCTGGAGAGATGGCTTAGCGGTTAAGACCACTGACTGCTCTTGCAGAGGACCTGGGTTCGGTTCCCAGCAAACACAGGGCGGCTTCGAACTGTCCTTAACTCCAGTTCCAGGAGAATCCGAAGCCCTCTTTTGACCTCCGCGGTGTCGCATGACATGGGTGCACTCACATGCAGGCAATACACTCACACACATAAAATAAAAAGAATAAATAAAATATTTAAAAAAATACGGTGGTGAGCAAGTGAGGAAAACGTGACATCAACCTCTGGCTTCCACATGCATATTCACATACACACACACACACACACACACACACATATGAATTCATTCTCTCTACATGGATTCTGTTCCATGTAGTCTCAAAAAATCTTCATAGATTCTCAAAGTAACCTCACTTAGCTCTTTAAATGATCATTATTATATTTATTTCATGTGTGTTCATTTATATGTGTGGGTGCATGTGTGTGTGTTGGGGGGTGTTTGTGCATGCATGTGTGCATGTGGAAGCCAGGGGTCAGTCTCAGGTGTGGTTTCTCAGGCACTGTCCATCTTGTTTACTAAGACAGGGTCTTGATGTTTTCAGGACAGGCAGGCTGGCCGGCGAGTCTGTGAGAGAGAAGCAGGACACTCTCAGGAACCCACTGTCTCCTCTTTCTTTCCACACTTAGCAGATCTGACAGTCTGATGGCCAAAGGTCTTATAATATTTTCACATAGCACAGCATGGATACCGTCTACATCTTTAGGAGACAGAGTTGGATTTATACACTCTTTTAAAATTCATTAAATAAGCCGGGTGTGGTGGCACTTGGTAAGCAGAGGCAGGTGATCTCTGTGAGTTTGAGGCCAGCCTGGTCTATGTAGTGAGTCCCAGGTCAGCTGTGGCTGCAGGGAGACCCTGTCTCAAAAAGACCAAAAAAAATTCATTAATTAAAGTTACAGTTTGTGATGTGTTATGAATTAGGGAATATTATTTAATTTATTGATAACAAATACATAAAACATAAAATTGTATATATTAACAGCATGCCATGTGATAACTCATTATTATTATTATTACTTATGTACATGTGCATATGATGTGTATGGGGACATTCATTTGCCATGCATACATGTGGAGGCCAGAGGACAGCCTTGTGGAGTGAGTTCTCTCCTTCCACCTTTTTACATGGGTTTTGAGGATGAACTCAGGTCATCAGGCTTACATGGCACTTTTATCCATGGAGCCATCTTGCCATTCCTTAAATATTTTTTCCATATTGTATGTCCATACTTGAACACATTGTATAATGTCTAAATCAGTTTGATGATCTCATCAAGAATTTCCATTTTTTATGGTAAAATGGTCAAAATGCTTCCTTTTGTTCTGTTAGGAAGTTTCTTGCTGTGAGTCTAATGCTCTGTGTGGAGGAGCGCAGCGCATGCATGTTGGATGGCCTATTTCACTATTCCTGCGTTTAGTAGTTTTTACAGTTTCCTTCGTTAACATTGCCTCATTAATATTTATACTGTGTCATGGACACAGAGAGAAAAAGATGATACGGGTTTCTTTGAAGTGTGTGACTCTCCCTGCGGCCTCTCCCCATGTCTCTTCCCTCTTGACTTGCCAGCAAATTTTGATTCTTCTGCCCTCTGCTGAATTACTCCTTTTGTTTTTTCTAAACATGTCTCTTTCAAGTATGTAATTGACTTTATGCCATGTTTGGGGGTAAATAGCTCAGTAACCCCTGTTTAACACTGTGGGGAGCATCAGAGATGCTCATTAGCTCCCCAGTGATTCATTCGCCCCATGTTTTATACGTCCCAAGAGGCAAGTTCATTGCTGTAGTCACAGTCCCATGAAACACAGTGGCTTTCTGGTCTTCAATAAGGTATTTGTATTTACTTTGCAGTTATGTGGAGACATAGATGTGATGGATGATCTAGGGGTAAGGACCAAGCCAGCCTTCTGTGGTGTGGCCTCTGTTAGAACACTGGAAGAATGGTTTTACCATTTCCTTAGGGTGAAACCCCACAGGTCCCTTCCCCACGTTTCCTGCTCCCTTGCTTCCTGTCCTCAGGCATCGATCTCTCCTTCTGCATGGTGGACCTTGGCTCTGCCCTATCACTGCCAAACTTATCTTCACCTGGACAACTATTGCCAGCTACTCTGTGCCTTAGATCCCAAAGCCATCGTC